GATACAGAAGGCGTGTTTTGTTCTGCAGGATGAGCAGATTTGATTAGATCTGATCAGCTGCACTCGAAATGTTCTTCTTTCAACCACCGCTCATGAAGACTAACCGGCGGTCATGTATCGTCGTTCGACCAACGCAGTGTTGAACGCCATCAAAAACATGTCATTAAACTCTGACAGGTGTCACGAATAGCTGTGGAGAAATTTTCGCCTGGATGAACTGTTTCTTCACACCCCAGAAAATAATACTGTATTTTGCACAGTATCAAGGTGTCAACACAGCGTTATTTTGAAATGCATGAGCAGGCTATCAAAATAAGTGTGGTCTGATAGAATACCAGTCCTTACAGTTCATAAGTTGGAATCGCGCCATGTGTGAGACATTCTTGAGTTTGAGTATAAAAGTAGCAACAACAACAACCCAATCCAAACAATGCCGTGGTTTCCGTTTACACTCCCCCAGGTGCGGTGTGTAAAGCATAGAATTATATTACAGCCTTAGTCATAGACCACAATTATGGAAAGAAAGAGCGTTCAGCTGTAGCACCCCTTCGGTGACCAGATGCCATGCCACTAGAAGTAAGCACGAGGACTGGGATACTGCCGGATTGTACAACCCTAGACAGGGGATATCGAGATGTAGAGGTCGGATTCGAACCACGCACCTTCCGGTCGGTAAATTGGCGCTCTAACCTCTGAGCTATCTCGCCCTCTACAATTACGAGGGTATCGTTTTTGGATATTTATATTCCTCTTTGATGGTACATGTCTTAATCGCTGACTCTCAACAACGGACAGCTTAATTCGATCAGTTATTTAGGTGACGATATGCCGACAGCACACTTCCAAACAAGTGAGACGGATTTCAAGAGCTGTGCAACCGTCTCACACTAAACTGGATTGACCGAGCCATGCGTGGATGAAGAGGGACAAAACAAAACTGTCAGTTGCAACTCCATATGTCTTCAATGGAACAGTGCACTCATGCAGTTCGCAAATTCATTTTAGTGTGAACAAATGAGCCTTGAACGAACCCCACAGTTATTCCGCAGCTAATCATGCAGCTCCTCAGTATGCAGTCATATTTTGCAATATCGATATACCATCGTGTCTAAGGTTTAATAAAACGTCAAAAAGCTCGAAGAGGGTTCAAGAAGAGGTTCAGTCCAACCTCGTTGCGAGCTACAGAAACCTTGGGCATTTCAGCTGCCTCGCCGTATAATCATAGCCATTCGAAAGTAAACGGAGCTGCCCTATCGTTGAGTCCAGGTTAAGCCATTCTATCCGCTTATATCTTCCCGTCAGGGAAGGTTTCTCTAACGTGTCTGAAAGTTAAAGTCACAAAACATAAGACCGTTAAAGTGAGAGAAACCGTTTCTTCTCAGAGATGAATTAAAACCGTGGGTGTTCAATGCTCTACTACCGTGTTGCCACATCACGCCAGCTTCGAAATCGGTTACTGAAGTATTTTCACGAGGGGTATCTCAGAACTATCAGAATGGAACGTATGACACGAAGTTGTGTCTACTGGCCATCCATTTGTGCGACCGTTGAATGGCTCGTCTTCAGCTGCGAGTAGTGTGTATTGGCAACCATTTCTCCGATAAAATCCCAACTGTTTTCTTTACCGAGGCTAAAGGAGCAACAGGGTTAATAAGGGTGGCTCTCTTGGTAGGCTAATTACACACTTCATGTGGACCGCTGGCTGTTCCACACCAGTTGTCAGTAAATGACCCAGTCTCGGATTCACTATAGGTTATCGCATACCATATCATCATCATTTATTTTTTTATTTTTGAAGAGCATGGTCACAAACATAAAAAGTGAGTGCAAGCGATGAATGCGAAAGAGTAACAGGAGAATATGGGAGAAAAGAGAGAAACGTCTCATTCGAAATCATGCCAAGGACAGTGCCAGTCTGATGAGGCTGGCACACACTACTAACGAGTGGTACTATGCATAGGGAACGCATACCATTGAAGTTACACAACACCTGATCAGGCGAAATGCTCAGTGTGACTAGAGGATGACTGGCGCTATATCTTGTCACAATACTGATCAGCTACTGGCACTCGTGACAAACTACACCTTCCAACTTGAACTGTGTATGTTGCAGACTCCAATGGAAATAGCAAGGCCATTAATAAGTGACGATGGGGTGGAGAAAAATGATGAACCCGCGTCGCAGGCACTTGAACAACCGAGGTTTTATGG